CGCCAATGCCGACATCGATCATACCAGATTGAATGGCGTTGGCAATATCGGCGATAGCCTGGAGACCGCTAGAGCACTGACGGTTCAAGCTCTTCACGGCGGTGCTCTCGGGGAAGCCAGCCACGAGAGCAGCGGCACGGAACTCAGTAGCACCACCACCGGGGGCAAGGACAGAGCCGACGGCGATGTCCTGGACGGCACTGGGGTCAATGCCGCTCTTGTTCAGAATAGCCTTGAAGACACCGGCAAGCAGATCCGCGCCAGCGGTATCTTTAAAGCCACCCTTACCACCCTTGGTGAGGGCGGTGCGGAGGGCACATGTCACGACAATGTCATCAGGGTGCTTCTCAAGGATGGCAGCGGCCCCCTTCTTGCCGCCAAGGCTGAGATGAGAGGAAACCTGGTTTAGACGTTGCTGGGCTATAGATATGTGTATTAGTTATTTGGCTTTTCTTTAATTACAATCTGTGACAAGCCACGAGAAACCATGTGTTCAACAGGATGTAGAGCCCCGGGCTGTCACATGTACAGCACTTACCGTTAGACATGACGTCAATGTGTGATGAAGATATGGTAGAGGTGCGAGGATGAATTACAGGGCAAAAATGAGGATTAAAACGTAGCTCAGATACCAGGGGAACCGTTGGTATATAAGTTAGGCCCGTGAAATCGGTAGTATTTCCCCTTTGGATCGTTGCTGGCTATCGCACTCTAAGAAAGTACCGAGGTCCGTCAGGCCGCATTATCGTTGATCCACGGCAGTCACGGGATCTCTGACCGGTGGATCACAAGGGGCATGTGAAATCGGGGGATATCACATGCGTGTGGGGATGATCGGACTCACGTTTTGATAGATCGTCTAAGTAGATCAGCTCAGCATAAGGCTACACATGCATTCAATATTTCTTCGGTAGCTGTCTATCTAGCCCTATTACTCTGGAGCTTCTTAAAATGATACCGTTCTCAGAATATATCTCCACAAACAAGGATGCCGTGTTCTCTAGTCAAACTTTTGTAGGTCAAATATGCAAACATGAGGTCTCAATACAATCATCTCCCCTGATAGCTCAGCTGGAAGAGCGCAAGACTGTAATTGCTTGGTTCTTCAAGGAACTTGTCATCTTGAGGTCCCTGGTTCGATCCCGGGTCAGGGGATTCTTTTTGTCCTTTTTCCGTTGCACTTTTTTTGGCCCAGGCCTACAAGCCACACAACTGCCATTCAGATATGCACTTTCATTCACTCCTCTGACTTTGCTGTCGCCTTGGCGATCGGAGGTGGGTTCACTCGTGGTCAACTCTTCTCTTTGTAGTTCAACCTCGGTCGCGCCTTGGCTATAAACCCCTCCAGGCTACCGGTGGTCTGACTCTTTGGGACTTGGATCTCTGGGGTATAGAGTTTACATTGGATGTCTGCCAATCTTATATAACAGTCACTATTCATCTACGAAGCTAGCTGGTCCATGTGAATAAGCTGCAGTCTAATAGACATATTATATACAACATAGTTTCTAAGAATCGAATATGGTGAGACGCATATGCTAGCATCCCATGGTCTTTTAGATTGTCTAGGGTGCTTTTAATGCATTGGATGTAGAACGAACGCACTGTGGGTCTTTGGGTCCTAGAGAATAGATCATCCGCCGAGTTGTCACTTGTCGTTGGACTCCCCTTGAACCCTACCCTACCTTCTCAAGCAAGGATTAGTTTTGACTGGTACCTAATGCCCGACGAACCAGCAGAATGGTATCGGATACAGTGATCTCTTTCCGCGTGGTCAATTTTGTTCTGACAACTGCACGAAGGTCGTTCAGGCCGGATACACAAGTTCTTGCACATTCCGCTTGGTTCTCTTTCCCCGCGAATTCAAAGCCCGTACGATCTCGGTATGTTCTCCACACGACTTGCTCTCTTACTTTTGCTGGTAAATCCACATCGAGACGTCTAGCTTGTCGACTTGCGTTTAGGAAACTGCTGGATCAGGCGTTGCGAGAATTTTTTTCAATCTTGGGTCTCCTGTCGGGGGTCACGCAGAATCCAGAGCTAGTTCCCGCAAACCCGCTGACAGGGTCGTCGCCTGGGTTTCGGTCTGTTCTCTTCCTGTCATTTTTGCTGGCTGTTTGCCACGCAGATTTACACTGTTTCACATAGAGTTTCACGTTGTTTTCGGGTTTATTGGAGAAGGGGCTAGGGCCCCGCATGTACGGGGGGGATCGGCGGGCGGTTGAACAGCTGGCGATGAGAAGATAAAAAATGTTACTAGCCTCCGCCGCGGAGTACGATGTTGAAAGTGTCGCTGATCTGGGAGATACGAAGGCGAGAGGGTATGACGAGGGGCCGTATAAGACGAGCACTAAGATAGATTGTTGAGAGGCTGTAGAAGCGATGATCGACATCTGACGGGAGGTAAATAACCCGAGCTCCCACTTTATCCGGGCCCGGACATAATGATCCTTCTGAATAAGATACGCGGCATATGCTCGGTGGAATTTAGTCATAGTTCCAATGCGTGGTGGATGAGGAGGTGCGGATTTGGTCTCCTATACATAAATATACATCTATGCAGCCGATCGACGAATATCTTCAAACCAAGGCGTAGCGAGCAGAATACCAATCGAATCAAATAGAAGCATATAAGACCCCAGTAAGCGAGGGAAAAGACGCAGAAGTGATAAATGCTTATCTTTAATCTCCTATAGGGGGTTCTCCAAAGCCTCCTGTGACAGACATCTGGTTACACCCTACATTTATTATGGATTCGGAGCCCGGTGCCTATCCCAAAGATCTCATAAATCCTTTCTTTATACTAGGAAGGACCCCAGTACGAGAGAGCTCTATAGCTACGTGCAATGCTGAGGTAGGAGAGAACTGAACTCTCCGTTATGACTATACGTA